AATAGAAGTGTTATGGAACATACCTGTAATCCCAGCTACTTAAAAAGCTAAAACAGGAGTATTACAAGTTGTAGCCCAGCCTGGCAACTTAGGAAAAAGAGAAAGGAGAGAGAGAGAGAGAGAGAGAGAGAGAGAGAGAGAGAGAGAGAGAGAAGGAAGGGTTGGTTATAGTACCATGAAAAGACCCTAACTTGAATTTTAGTGCTGAAAATATTTTTTCAATGGAAAAAAAACTTTATTAATATTAAACTGGGACAAATTTGTTCATGCAAATCAGCACAGTTAAATAATCAGATAGAAACAAATAAAACACTTAACTAGAAATATGGAGAACGGGTGGAAAAGAATAATGTAGTAACTCCAACAATCAATCTTTCTCCCCTCTCTCCCCTCCAGAAACTGCACAGAGGCATGGCAGAAGAAAACCATTCCACAGTCACTGAGTTCATCCTCGCTGGCTTAACTGAGAAACCAGAGCTCCAGCTGCCATTCTTCCTCATCTTTCTGGGAGTCTACATCTTCACAGTGGTGGGGAACCTTGGCATGATTACCTTGATTGGGCTCAGTTCTCATCTGCACACCCCCATGTACTATCTCCTCAGCAGTTTGTCCTTCATTGACCTCTGCCACTCCACTGTCATCACACCCAAAATGCTGGTCAACTTTGTGACAGAAAAGAATGTCATCTCCTATCCTGAATGCATGACTCAACTCTACTTCTTCCTCGTTTTTGCTATCTCAGAGTGTTACATGTTGGCTGCCATGGCATATGATCGCTATGTTGCCATCTGTAGCCCCCTGCTTTACAATGTCATCATGTCTCATCAGGCATGTTTTTCCCTGATTTTAGGGGTGTATATAATGGGTGTGGTTTGTGCATTGGCTCATACAGGCTGTATTCTTAGGGCTCAGTTTTGCAAGTTGAATGTGATTAACCACTATTTTTGTGATCTTCCTCCCCTCCTAAGACTCTCTTGTTCTAGTACTTACATCAATGAACTGTTGATTCTGTGCTTCGGTACGTTTAACATCTTTGCCCCAAGCCTCACCATCCTTACCTCCTACATCTTCATCATAGCCAGTATCCTCCGCATCCGCTCTACTGCGGGCAGGTTCAAAGCCTTCAGCACCTGCAGCTCCCACATCTCAGCAGTTGCTATCTTCTTTGGTTCTGCTGCATTCATGTACCTGCAGCCCTCATCAGACAGCTTCATGGATCAAGGGAAAGTGTCCTCTGTGTTTTACACCATCATTGTCCCAATGTTGAACCCTCTGATCTACAGCCTGAGGAATAAGGATGTCAATATTGCTCTGAAGAAAATCTTAGAGAGAGAAATATTCACATAAGCAGAACTAAAGTGAGGATGTTTTATTAGATCAGAATCAGTTACTATTAGGGGGTGTGAATTAATGTTGTTCATTTTAGTCTATTCGTTAGTATGTTCACTCAGTTGCTCTATTGTTGAGGTATTTCAAATTACTCTGGTCCTTTTATACCACTTTTACATATAGAATTTTATTTCACATGTATCATAAAGACAAAAATCAAAGGAAAGTATAGTATGAATCTACATATCCATTAATGCCAACCTTATCTTCCTTTTCATCTTCCATACAATTGACAAAACCTCAGGACACAACTATATTGAAAATGATATTTTCCAAAGTGATTACCAAACTCTTTTCATCTGAATATACAAAACACTTTAAAACATAATAATATCATGGCTATAATTTCTATTTAGGGGACTAAGCTAGCCTGAAAAGTCCCTTTCCTGTCCTACTCTTTCATATAACTTGTATCTTTTTTTGTCTTTTAATTCACAAACCCAACCATTACTTTAAAATATAAGTTAAAGATACATGTAAGTGTTGAGTTTTTGTGCAGTTCAATATTTAGACCATTTTTCCATTTGTTCTAGTTTTTACTTTCTTTTTTTTCAAACCACACCCAATTCATATCTGCATGTAGGTTCCCTGGCTACCTGCAGCTCACTGCCACACTTCCAGAACACAGAATACTTCCTACCTACTATTGCACCCTTGATAACTTTCTTATTTTAGTATTAAATATTTCAAGGAAAGTCATATGCATTCCATACAGTCTGCACACCTCTTCTGGGCCCCAATAACATTTCCTGGGAGCTATCTATATTTCAAAAATTGAATTTAGTTTAATTTAAATTTTATAGTTAAGGGCTGGCCAGATAGCTCAGCAGATTAAAACACCTGCTTAGGCAGATGCAGGGACCAAGGTTCAATCCCCAGCCTGCTGTGCCAGCCCCACCCCTGGGATGCACTGAGAGGCCATGGAGACTGGGCGTAGTGGTATGTGCCTGTAATTCCAGTGCTTCAGAGGCTGGACCTAGGAGAATCACATGTCCTATCTGTGTAGTGTGACCCTGTACTACATATATACATATGTACATACATACATACATACATACATACATAAATTTTATGTTTCAAACCCCTTAAGTACAACTTCAGTAAATTCTTTAGGGATGTGTAAAATAATAACATCCTAGGGCTGGGAGATAGCTTGGCAATCTAAACACCTCCTAAACACAAGGATCTGGGTTTGATCCCCCATACCATGTGCCTTGCCTACCCCAGAACCACTGAAACCAGGCATAGTGGCACATGCTGTAATCCCAGCTCAGGGGAGGCTGAGACAGGAGGATCACTAGGAGTTCAAACTGCAAAGGGAAACCTTCTACCGAATAAATAAATGACTAAACAAATAAATAAATATTTTTAAATTAAAAAATAACGTTTTGTTTTACTGTATACAAAACTTTAGAAATTTCAGTCCTGAGCACCTTCTATGGAAAATATCAGCACAAGTGTGATAATAGTGAACACACAGTTTCTCAACTAATCATGCCCAGAGAAAGAATTTTTTCCTGATTTTCAGCCATGTGGTTTATACAGGTTAAAAATAGCAAGTGTATTTTACACATGAGGAGCCAACATAGCAAATTTGGAGGCAGAGTGATAACTGGTATCTGAATAACCCAATGTAAACTATGAGGATTCTTCATACCCAGAATAGAATAAAAAATGTCTGTACTTCTGCTAACAAATTTCTCCTATGTAGAGTTTCAGTGAAACAAAGATAATTTCAAAAAGAGAGAAAATGTACACTGTATTATTAGATACAATAACTTGTTGCTATTTATAAAATAAATATGGCTAGGACTAGATTGCTTTTATTCTATTTTGAGAAATGAAGTTTACCTTATCTGTTATGGGTTTATTCTCGGGCTACTGGTCATCCAAGGTGCAGTTTCTCCAGACTTGTAGCTGTAGAAAATGCAGGTGAACCTACCATAGTTTTAGTTGTCTGTCCTCTAGAGACTCTAAAAAATTGTCATATAGCCCAGTTAATCATACCAAGGGGGTTGCACTTCTTTGCTTAAGAAAATACTGTCATGAGTCCTCCAAATTTGAACCTAGGATGATACTATTATTAATCTAATGCTTTTCTACTTGAAGTTGGATAAATTATTTCTCTAATCTATTGGCTTATTTACTGTGACCAGTGTACTGTGCAACTGAGAAATCAATAGGCTAGACTCCCTCTTAGAAAAATATGCCTCTCTAGGATATAGAAACTTAAAGTCATTTCCTCAGAAAATTCATCTTTGAAAAACACCCTAGATTACTTTTTCACATTAAAACTGCCCCTTCTGTTAGGAAAAAATTTGCTTAATTTATTAGTAGCTTAAGCTACTTACTGTTGTGTTTCTTAGCTTATGCTATTACTTGAGATTTATTGTTTTCTTTCCTTTCCTCAATGGATGGTAGAGAACACATAGTTATATTCATAATCATACCAAATCCTTTGGTTCTCTTCCATTTAGTGGTCATGGGGTATGCTTTCAGTTCTGTGCAAGCTTGCTATGAGTATATTTAATTTTAATCTGCAAGATGCCCTTTGCATTTTTACTCTGGAAATTAAATCAATATGTCAAAGAGGCATCTGCACACCTATGTTTACTGTACACTATTTATGAGTCATGAAATAGAAAGAAACTATATTCCATTGTCTGATAAATGGATCAAGGACACATGGAGAAATGTTATATATAACAATGTAACACTATTCATTCTTTAAGAAGAAACATTGGCAGTCCTAGCCCAGGTCCGGTGAGTGTGTGGAGAGCTTCCTGCTACCCTGCGCCAGCGGGACCAGTCCCAGCACAGGTGTAGCGTGGGCCGGATCCTCCCCCGCCCCCTCGGGACGCCCCCCACCCCTCCTGCCGAGTAGGAATTTCTGCCGACTTCCGG